TTTTGTTTTTAGCATTCAGGAAAACGGAAAAGGGTTTGGGATTTTACGGGGCTGCTGTTGGAGGGGGCTAAACCTGCTCTAAAAATTTTTTGGTTTACTCTATAGGAATGAGGGAATATGGTAACTCTTAACTGCTGTGGTTCTTAAATCTCAAGTTGGGGAAATCAGAACTGGTGCTACTTGGAAGTTCAAAGGTTTTCTTTTGGATGAAGAGGTGAGCTTCAGGAAGTGAAAATGTGAAGTTGAAATTTGTATTTTTAGGCCTTGGACAAGATTCGCTATGAAAGCCTGACAGACCCTTCCAAGTTGGACAGTGGTAAAGAGCTGAAAATTGACATCATCCCTAACCCCCAGGAACGTACCCTGACTCTGGTGGACACAGGCATTGGTATGACCAAAGCTGATCTCATAAATAATTTGGGAACCATTGCCAAGTCTGGCACTAAAGCATTCATGGAGGCCCTTCAGGTATGTACTGTTTCACCTAGACAGGCACCATTCATTTTTGTGGATGTTCTTTGGTGTGTTTTTTTTTTTTTTTTTTGTTTATTTTAACTTGTGTTTGACTAAAACTTTCTGGCAGGCTGGTGCAGACATCTCCATGATTGGACAGTTTGGTGTTGGCTTTTATTCTGCTTATCTGGTGGCAGAGAAAGTGGTTGTTATCACAAAGCACAATGATGATGAGCAGTATGCGTGGGAGTCTTCTGCTGGGGGCTCTTTCACTGTACGTGCAGACCATGGTAAGTTGAGGTTCTTGTTTGGGTTAGAATTCTGGGGAAGTCTATAATCTAGATCTTACTAAGTATGTTGTCTGTAGTTGGTTTTTTGTTATAATTCTGCTTTTAGTTTTGTGTCCTTATGTTGTCTTGACTGATGTTTCCTAGGTGAGCCCATTGGCCGGGGTACCAAAGTGATCCTCCATCTTAAAGAAGACCAAACAGAATATTTAGAGGAGAGACGTGTCAAAGAAGTGGTGAAGAAGCACTCCCAGTTCATAGGTTATCCCATCACTCTTTATGTGAGTATGGACTGGTAATCATCATGTGTATGATGTCTGCCGTTCTGGAGGATTGCATGGTCCCCAATTTTGGGTGTTCTGTATTCTGGAACTTTTTTTTTTTTTTTTTTTTTTTTTTTGGTACTTCAGTTGGAGAAGGAACGAGAGAAGGAAATTAGTGATGATGAGGCAGAGGAGGAGAAAGGGGAGAAAGAGGAAGAAGATAAAGATGATGAGGAGAAACCCAAGATTGAAGATGTGGGTTCAGATGAGGAGGATGATAGTGGGAAGGACAAGAAAAAAAAGACCAAGAAGATTAAGGAAAAATACATTGATCAAGAAGAACTGAACAAGACCAAGCCCATTTGGACCAGAAACCCTGATGACATCACCCAGGAGGAATATGGAGAGTTTTACAAGAGCCTTACTAATGACTGGGAAGATCACCTGGCAGTCAAGGTGAGCCATGCGTGCTGACCCAATGGAAGAGCAGGCAGAGGGTGTTGCCATGGTAGACCGGTGGAATTTGTTCAACTGGTTGGTAGGCGGGAACTGAATGCCATGGAGTCCTGTCCATTCATTTACTGGGGACGCTTCGGTAAAGAGAGACATCCTTTCCAGTGACCTCACTTAGTTTCTATGGCAGGTTCTTGATGGGATTGTTTTCTCATTGATCTAAGGGTTAGTTCAGGGTAAAAGGTTAGTTTTTTGAAGATACTATATTTGAGTAGCAAGTGAAAGAGGAGAAAGAGCAAGAGCAGCGGGGGAGGGGAGGACTGAGCAGGGAGCCCCTGGTGGGGCTAGATCCCAGGATCACGACCTAAGCCAAAGTGAGACGCTTAACTGACAGGCATCCAGGCACCCCACTTTAACAGCTGTCTTAGGGCATCTTTTCTATCCTTGGTGATGAGGGAAGATCTTTTTTTTTTTTTTAAATTTTTTTTAAATTTTTATTTATTTATGATAGTCACACAGAATGAGAGAGAGAGAGGCAGAGACACAGGCAGAGGGAGAAGCAGGCTCCATGCACCGGGAGCCCGACATGGGATTCGATCCCGGGTCTCCAGGATCGCGCCCTGTGCCAAAGACAGGCGCTAAACCGCTGCGCCACCCAGGGATCCCAGGGAAGATCTTTTTTGTGAACAATTTAATAATCTAATACTACTGGGAGTAAATAAACACTTCTTAAAATATGTTACTGGTTTGTTTTGAATTTTTTGCAGCACTTCTCTGTAGAAGGTCAGCTGGAATTCAGGGCATTGCTGTTCATCCCTCGTCGGGCTCCTTTTGACCTCTTTGAGAACAAGAAGAAAAAGAACAATATCAAACTGTATGTCCGCCGTGTGTTTATCATGGACAGCTGTGATGAATTGATACCAGAGTATCTCAGTGAGTATTCTCTTGGCCTCATGTAGTTAGTTTGGCAAGTCCTGTGAAGTTTCCTCAGTATTCTCAAAGACTTGAGGTCTTTTCATTTTCTAAAAAGGAAGGAAAAAGTCTTTATTGTAGCTAACATGATTAGTAAACGTTCAGTGAGAAAATGGGTCCCAATGAATTTACATATCTTGCATAGTTTATTTTTAACTGTTTTCTCCCTGGTCGATTACAGACTTCATCCGTGGTGTGGTTGACTCCGAGGACCTGCCCCTGAACATCTCCCGAGAAATGCTCCAGCAGAGCAAAATCTTGAAGGTCATTCGCAAAAATATTGTGAAGAAGTGCCTTGAGCTCTTCTCTGAATTGGCAGAAGACAAGGAGAACTATAAGAAATTCTATGAGGCGTTCTCTAAAAACCTAAAGGTACAGAAGCAACAGATTGTTACTGAATATTCATGGTGGAGGATTTTTTTAATTCACGTAGAAGGTAATGTTATTTAGAAATAAAATTGTTTTTTTCTTAACCTGGAAGCTTGGAATCCATGAAGATTCCACTAACCGGCGCCGCCTTTCTGAGCTGCTGCGTTACCACACTTCCCAATCTGGAGATGAGATGACTTCTCTTTCAGAGTATGTGTCTCGTATGAAGGAGACTCAGAAGTCCATCTATTACATCACTGGTGCGTTGGAGCTTGGGTCTGATCAAAGGCTCTCAGGGTGAAAGGGAGGACATTTGGGAATCTCTGGGAACTGGCAGGAGGTGACATTCTGACCCGAGTCACACTCCATAACCCTATAGGTGAGAGCAAAGAGCAGGTTGCCAACTCTGCTTTTGTGGAGCGAGTGCGGAAACGGGGCTTCGAGGTAGTGTATATGACAGAGCCTATCGACGAGTACTGCGTGCAACAGCTCAAGGAGTTTGATGGGAAGAGTCTGGTCTCAGTTACCAAGGAGGGCCTGGAGTTGCCTGAGGATGAAGAGGAGAAGAAGAAAATGGAGGAGAGCAAGGCCAAGTTTGAGAATCTCTGCAAACTCATGAAGGAAATCTTGGATAAGAAGGTTGAAAAGGTGAGCAACTCTGGGAGTAGGGCATGTGTCTTGTAAACAAGTGCTCTCAGAATCTTATAGCATTACACAATTAGATTTATTTTTAAAGATTGTATTTATTTATTCATGAGAGACTACACAGGCAGAGGGAGAAGCCGTCTCCATGCAGGGATCCCGATGTGGGACTCGACCCCAGGACTCTTCAGGATCATGCCCTGGGCTGAAAGCAGGCACTAAACTGCTGAGCCACCCTAGGGATCCCAGATTTTTCTTTTAAGATTTCATTCATTTATGAGAGAGGCAGAGACCTGGAGAGGCAGGTTCCCTGCAGGGACTCTGATGCAGGACTCAATCCCAGGACCACGCCTTGAGCTGAAGGCTGATGCTCAGATCCTGAGCCACCTAGGCATCCCTAGCTTTGAGTTTTTGAGTAGAACTTAACATAATAGTCATTTTGGGCTGGAAATGATAGTCTGATGCACCATCAATGGGAGTTTCTGTGACTGTCTACAGGTGACCATCTCCAACAGGCTGGTGTCTTCACCCTGCTGCATTGTGACTAGCACTTATGGCTGGACTGCCAACATGGAGCGGATCATGAAAGCCCAGGCACTCCGGGACAACTCTACAATGGGCTATATGATGGCCAAAAAGCATCTGGAGATCAACCCTGACCACCCCATTGTGGAGACGCTGCGGCAGAAGGCAGAGGCAGACAAGAACGACAAGGCTGTCAAGGACCTGGTGGTGCTACTGTTTGAAACGGCTCTACTCTCCTCCGGCTTCTCACTGGAGGATCCCCAGACTCACTCCAACCGCATTTACCGCATGATCAAGCTAGGCCTGGGTGGGTGCCCGTTACCAGAGTGTGACAAGGAACTGGGGAGCTGGTCTCACGGGGGACAAAGATGATTTACTGGTATTTGGATCAAAGTTCACAGGCCTTTTTTTACTTTGTAGGCATCGATGAAGATGAAGTGGCAGCGGAAGAACCCAGTGCTGCTGTTCCTGATGAGATCCCTCCACTTGAGGGTGATGAGGATGCCTCTCGCATGGAAGAAGTCGATTAATTTCTCCTTGCAGACCTTGTGCCCTCTGTATAGTGTCCCCATGGCTCCCCAGCAGCCCTGAGTGGCCCCGGTTCACCTGGTTCCCTCTGCTGATGTCTAGTGGATTTTTTTTTCCCCTCCTGTCTTTGTTAGAGGCAGGATAGAAGGGCCTTAAGCCCTAGCCCTCATGACATTTGACAAGGGGTTTGGATGTGTATTGTGTTTGTTTATTTTGTTCTGAGATTAAAGTATGCAAAATAAAGAAGATACAGTTTTATACAGTTATGCTCTCCCTTGTAAAGTGGATCTCCTGCTGGTTTTTGCATTTCCTTAGCTTCTCTATCCCAAGCTTTACCTGGTCATTCTTCAGGTACATTGAAAGCTAAGGTCACCTGTAGCCATTTAGCACTTTTCAAGTCACCCAACATTGCTTCTAAAGGGTAGTCTCAGACCAGCATGTGTAACACTATACCTTTATATCTGTCCCCTTCCCAAAGCATACACTTCAGTCAACCAAAACACCGGACTTTAAAGCCCATTGCAGCAGTTTAATTTAATAAAATAAAATTATAAGAGCAAAAAGTTCCATTTCCAAGGTACCAAAACCTGCAACTGGCTCTTGGAGCAGAGCCTAGGGATCCAGGAGCAGAGGGTGGTATCACTGGGCAGGGTTCTCCCATCCCCCTCCTCCAGCACAGCACCCGCTTTCACGGACTCCTGGGAAAGCAGCACTTGGAGCCTACAACACTTGTGCTTTTCTCACCAGAGTAAGAACTGTAGGTCTCTGGGAGTCTGCAAGGGTGGGCAGTTCAGGGTAGGGGACAAGCACTGGTGAGGTGTTGGAGCCCATAGGGCAAGACTTCAGGGAATTTGAGGGGGTGGAGGCTTTGGAAGGTCCCTCTGTCTTCTCAGCATCCCTCCACACTGAGGAGGACGGTCCTCTACCCTTGGGCTCAGAAGAATCCCTACTAGAGAACGGGGGACTTAAGGCAAAGGAGAAGGCTGCCTCTTGGACTCAACCCCAACCTGCAGAGCTGATTGTGATACTGAGAAAAAAACTGCCCTTGAGCGGACCCCCTCAGAAGTTTACAGTAGGAGAGGAAAATCTAAGGTGAGGGTCCTCTTCCGCGTCACCCCTCAGGCCCTTCAAACTTTTTGCACAGGGGACTCCACAGGCACAGCCTTCTTTCCCCGTTGCTTTAGACGGCCCCGGGCATAGACTCGGAGCAGGAGGGCTGCAAAGACCACAGCCACCCCCAGGCCGCCCACCACAGTGACAGTGTGGCCATAGAGAAGGCAGGAGAGGAGGATGGCAAAGGCCTGGCGGAGGGTCATGATGATGGTGAAGACGGCAGCCCCAAACTGCCCTATGGTGTAGAAGATGAAGAGCTGGCCACATGCAGAGCAGATAGAGAGCAGCAGGGCATGTGCAGCAAATTCACTGTGTCGCCCCATGAAGCGGGTCCCCTCCAGGAGGGCCCCCTGCTCTAGCAGCGAGCCCACGGTGAAGAGGCAGGAGAATAAGTTGACCCCGAACATCATCTGCACCGAAGACATCTTATAGGCAAACAGGGCATCCTGCCAGTTTGAGGTGAAGCTGTCAAAGGCAATATAGCCTGCCAGGAGGATGAGGCCTGACAGCGTGGTGGCTGGGGAGCTGCGGGGCTCTGGTCCACTGGACAGCAGAAACATGCTGACCCCAACGGAGATGAGGCCGGCCGTCAGGTATTCCCAGTGTTCGTAGCTGCGCCGTGACACCAGCTTTCCCATGAGCATGACTGGGATCACCTTAGAGGCCTTGGCCAGCACCTGGGTGGGGAAGCTGACGAACTTGAGGGCTTCGTACTGACACCAGCTGCTAAGCACGTTTGACAGGCTGGCAAAGGAGTACCGGTACATGGGCGCCCCGTGGCGGGGCTGCTTGCAGAGGACGCAGTAGAGGCCAGCTACGATCAGCGCCAGCACTCGGTTCATTAGCACCAGGAACTGTGAGTCTGTGAAGCGCTCACCTGGCGATGTAGCAGTAGCCCCATAGCTGCGGGTCATCACTCTTTCCTGCAGCACTCCCCAGGTCAGATAAGACACCTAGGTAGGGGAGGATGAGGACAGGAGAGAAGATGAGCAAGAGAAGGAAAACGTGGACAAAAAAGGATCGTGACAACCTCCCTCTTCCTCAAGTGTCTAAATGATTTAAAGGATGGCATATATATTTGCTCCCTCTAGTAACTAGAAGTTTCTTCTCCCCTCCCAAACCTGCATTCACCTGGTTTGACACATTCAAGCATGTACCAAACACTTAAAACGACAAATGCTTTAGGACTGTCCAGATCCTATTCGCCCCACCTGAGGGTATGTTAAAGCTGGCACCATCCCAGGTATCTTCCTATCTATTCTCAATCAATTCAGGGAGTAGAAAAATGGGACACCTGTTAGCATGTGCAGAACTAGTAGTGCCCACCCCAAAGTGCCAAGAGCTCAGCATCTTAGCTCCTGCTCATATGCCGTGTGGGGAGGAGGGAAGGCTGAACGGCTTCCCTAAACTTTGATTAGAGGGTTAACAGTATATGAGACACATCATTGCAGGGGAAAGTGTAGTAACAGCACAGAAGACGTAACAGAAAAGAGAGTAAGAAAGAGGCAAAAACAAGACAGCATTTCCTCCACCCACTTCTCAGAAGATGATGGTACCGTGTGCCCCTGGGAGGAGGGGGGCCACACTAGCCAGCAAACTGTTGGGACTGGTAGGGTGACAACTCTGGTTCCACACAGTCCCTTGCCCACCAGGACCCAACCCAGGGAGAGAAGCGAAGCCCACCTGCCTACCTACCTGGAGCCCCGCAGCACAGAAGAGCAGCTTCAGGGCTTGCCAAGTGGGAGTGGTCTCCGCAGGCTCAGTCCGCGAAGTCAGAGGGACCTCGTCAGAGGCCTTGGGCTCATTGCCAAACACACAAGTTTTCACCAGGGGGAAGCAGAGACCCCTGCCTAAAAAAAGCACACAAGGTCAAGATCTTATCTCCTCCCCAGCACCTCCCCGTCAGGCCTTCAGGCCTCCCTCCCTCCCTCCCTCCCTCCCTCCCTTTCCAAGCTACCTCCCTCTTTGGAGTGCTGGCCAGCACTCAAAAAACGGACCTGGCGCACTAACCCCACCCTTTCTGGACACACCTGTCTCCAGGTAGTTCTTCCGCCTGAAGTACTGCACCATCAGGTAGCCGGGGACCATAAAGCTGGCATAGCCAGCGGCGTTCACCAAAAAGCGGAAGAACCACAGCTGCGTCCATGACTCTGGAAGGGCTTCGGGGGTGTCCCCCCCTGCCCCCAGGGAGGGGAGCGCAGCCAGCACCACCACTGCCCACCACCTGCGGGGACAGCGGACGTCAGGGTCAGGGTCAGGTCAGGGCCCAGCTCCTCAGGCGCTCGGCCCTCCGGAGGGGAGTACTGGAGAAGGGCCCAGAGTCTCCCCGCCCCCCTCAGCTGCAGCCCGGCCCGGACAAAGAGCCTCTCTCTCTCCTGGGGGGCGGGGGAGGCCGGCGCGGGCCGGCGGGGCTCCCTCCCTCCTCCTGGGGCCGCCCCGCCCCTGTGACCACACAGGTTCCCTCTGTTCCCTCCAGCGCTCGCCGGCCGCCCGGGCCACAGGCGGCGCCCCCTCCTCGCACCGCGCCCTCCAGCATCCGGGAGCGACCCGGCGCCCCCGGACCCCGGCGGCAGCACGCGCCCACGCCGCGCCCGCCCACGCCGCGCCCGCCCGCTCCGCGCCCCCCCGCTCCGCGCCCCCCCGCTCCGCGCCCCGCCCCGCTCCGGCCGCCGGGCAGCCCGACCCCGCCGGCCCGGCAGCGGCAGTCACGTGGGCCGGGGCCCGGTCACGTGGGCCCGCCGCTCCCCTAGCCCCCCACCTGGCGTCCATGGTCCGGGCCGCGTGGGGCGGAGGGGGCCGGGGAATGCGGTCCCCGGGCCGCGCGCTCCCTCCGCTCCCGACGCCGCCTCGAGCAGCGGCCAGTGAGCGAGCGGCTGGCGGAAGTGCCGCGCTCTTCCCGCCTCCCTCCCCGCGGCCGCCCCTCCGCCCCCAGCCGCGACCACGCAGCGCCCCGGGCCGCCGGCGGCCCACAGCGCCCCCGTGCGGCCCGGAGGGAGGCGCGGCGCGGGAGCTGAGAGCCGGGCTGCCGGGGGGGGGGGGGGGGGGGAGGGGGGCGGGCGGGGGCTGGGGGGGAGGGGGGGCGCCCGTCCCCTTCGCCCTTAGCCCTCGCCACCAACCCGGGAGGTGCCCCCTGTCATCTCAGGACGGGGACAGAGATTCTGCGTCCCACTCCCTCGTGCTACCCCTTAGCCGGTTTCTGCCAGGAAGATCCCTCCTTCCGTTCTTGGCTGGGCTGCAAGGCTGCCCCCCAACAAGCCTGGACCTTGGAGGCGCTGCACGACCTGGCTCTTCCACGTCGCCCACTCACGCAGCCCCTGCGGGGTCGCACTGGCCCGCCCTGAGGTCCTCTCATTCACCAGGGGCCTTCCCCCTGAACGCCCTCCCCGCGTCCCGGTCCCGTCCCCGTCCCGTCCCCGTCCCGCTCTCCTCCTCCGGTCCAGGCGCAGATCTCACCTCCCAGAGCTCCCTGGACTACCCAAGGAAAGGCCCCCAGCGCCTCGGCTTCTCCTCACTTGGCTTTTCCTTCACAGCATCCATCCACCGCAACACGTAATTACATATTTATTCGGGTGTTTAAGATTTTAATAGCTGTCTCACTCACTAGACTGGAAGATCCAAGTGGCCAGAGACTGTGTTGGTCTATTCCCCCTTCCACGTACTGACCATATTCATCTAACAGGGACTTCAAATACGTGTGGAATGAAAGGAAAAATATACAGAACCGTAGCTCCTTTGTGTTACTAGCCTCCTCTCCAAGCTCCTCCAGGGCAGTGAGGAGCACCCCCCTACTCCCCAGGGGTCTTCTCATTTCACCTATTTATCCTTCGGTTTTCACAGAAAGGCCAAGGGTTTGTGCTAGACAGAGAGGCCTGAGGACTCTTAGCTCTTCCCCCTCCCCACACACACAACACACACCTAGCAAGGTCCTACCCTGCTCAGGTGGCAATTTCCTTTTCCTTGCCTCTACCGTCAAGTCACAAAGCAGGCCTATCTAAAAATCCCCAATGCACACAGGCATGCACATGCACAAAACAACTCTGGGGGGGGGGGTTACATTTTCAAGGTCTCTGCTGTTTTAGTGTCATGTTATTGAAACTTCCCCTTCCCCAAAGGCTCAGTTCAGGGCCTTCTGTGTGAAGTCTTTAAACAACAATGTTTACAAGTCCTCAACAGCAGTGAGATGGAACCCATCAGGGTCCTCTTGCTGATTTGTTTCTCTCCTCACTCCAGAGAGTCCATGTTTTACTACTGGTTGGCAGTGTCAGGCTGACCCAACCTGGGTAGAAACAAGAGCCCCTGCCATCTTCTAGAAGCAGACAGGCTTCGCCCAGGATACCTGGGTTCTGGGAGTCTTCAAGGATCTCCATCCACCAAGGAAGGTCTTCCTTCCAGACTGGCCTTCTCTCACTTGTGATCACTCCTCTTAGCTCAGGACTGTGCAGGGCCCCAGGCTGTGGCCTCAGCAGTCCCCGGGATGCCAGGAGGGCACACTGTCTGGGCCCCAAACACAGCAGCTATGGCCCCAACTTCCACATGGGAAGAGATGGAGTCTCCTCCGGGGCCCCAGACTCTGCCCTGGCTTCAGTCGGCACACAGCAGTGGCTTCCCAGAGATCTTCAGGTCATCAAAGGGCAAAAGAGCAAAGGGCTGAGGAAGAGAATGGAGAGAAGCAAGATCAGGGCTCATGGGAAAAAGGCAGCAGTGGGGGAAGGGAGCTGGGGAGACAGATGGGCCTTTCCTCTCCACTGAATGACGGTTCATTGGGAAACAAATCTTCCTACTAATACCCCCAAATAGTGGCCCCTCTGAGCTAGGGAGAGGCCTGAAGCCTCAGGCAAGCCCTCACTCTCTAAGATAATGTCAGAATATCAGAGCTAACAAGGCCCCCAGAGGTAATCTAGCCCATGTTTTTTTTTTTTGGGGGGGGGATTTATGAAACATTTTGAATATTATTTTAGGTAGGCCCTAGGCCCAATATGGGGCTTGAACTCATGACCCTGAGATCAAGAATCACCTGCTCTACTGACTGAGACAGCCGGGCGCCCCTGAATACTGTTTTACATTGAACACTTTAGATTTTTTTTTTTTTAATACTCATGAGAGACACACAGAGAGAGGCAGAGACACAGGCAGAGGGAGAAACAGGCTCCATGCAGGGAGCCTGATGTGGGACTCGATCCTGGGTCTCCAGGATCACGCCCTGGGCTGAAGGCAGGTGCTAAACTGCTGAGCCACCTGGGCTGCCCTACATTGAACACTTTAAAATGGGAAAGACCATACAGGAAATCTAGGTTCCATCTCTCTTTAAAATTTCCAAGACCTGTGACACCTGGCTGGCTTGGTGGTTGAGCATCTGCCTTTGGCTTAGGTTGTGAACTTGGGGTTCTTGGGATTGAGTCCCGTGTAGGGCTTCACACAGAGAGCCTGCTTCTCGCTCTGCCTATGTCTCTGCCTCTCTATGTCTCTCATGAATAAATAAAATCTTAAAAAAATATATTCCAAGACCTGTTAGTACTAGGCCCACATTCCTCCTCTGCAACTGTCTGCTGAAGCCAAGTAGAGTGATAAGGATCAAGGGGGCATAGACTCTGATTTTCTGCAGGCCCCTAGGTCTTACACCTAGCCTGCCTCGCTGATCCACTGTAGCTGCAGGGTGCCTGTCAGAGCCCAAGTTTGAGCTCCTTGGTCTTGACTAAGAAGACAGGCTGGGGGAGAGGCAGAGGCTTGCCCAAGGTCCCACAGCTGGTGAGTGGCTGAGTCACAGACTAAACCCGGGGATCCCAACCCCTCGGCCCTCTCAGCTGTTAACAGCTGTTAACCCTCTGCTGTGGGTCCAGGGTCCCAGAGAGCAGAGCTGAGCCTGTGCCTCTTACGTCCTCAGCCAGGTCCTGGGGAGTCTCATCCTCCACGTTCCGCAGCAGGGAGTCGGCGCCTGCCTCACATAGAGTGGATGAGATGCTGCTGAGGCCCCGACCTGCCGCAAGGTGCAGGGGTGTGCACCCATTGAGCATGCGGGCGTCTACGCGGGCACCAGCCTGGAGCAGGAACTGCACCAGCCCCCGCTCCTGGGTCTCCACAGCTAGGTGCAGCGCTGTCTTTCCACTCGTACCCTCCTGGAGGGGAATAAGAGTGTCAGCCTTGTCAGCCGAGGGCCTCTAGAGGAATCATGCTGCGCTGGGGCTCTGGATAGGAGGGTGGAGTGCCACCACTCCTGACTGCTGGGCACGCCCTCCTCCCTGGGGCTGGGGCAGGCGGTGGGACAGGCCCCCTCACCTGCGTATCAATGTCAGCTCCGTAATGAAGCAGCAGTTCCATGAGTGGTCGGTTTCTCTGCAGGGTGGCGATGTGGAGACAGGCCAGACCTGGGATGGGGTGAGGGTGGGTGTTGCTCATCTGCATAGACCAACCCTCTCTCCCCCTCCTTCAGGGACCTCCCTACCCCTCAGCCCCAAGGGACTGACTGCCCACTCAGTGCCTCTGATCACAGGACTGTTAAAACACAAACCTAAAAAAACCCCCTCAAAAGTCTGAGGGGAAAGGAACTCAAAGTTTCCACCTTTTCAGAGTCATGTTATTGAAACTTTCATGCTTCAGGGGTTAGGTTGCCCAGTGACACCCCACATACACATACCCTCCCCCAACACACGTACCCTCCCCCATTCTCTCTCCCCCTCCCCCCACCTCTCTCAAACTCCACCTGCCTTCAAGCCCTGTCCAAAAAGCCACTTGCTTCAGAGCTCTCCAGGATCCCCAGGCCCCTCCCTAGGGGCCACCTCCTGCCCTGTGCTCCCCTAGCCTTTCTTCTATCTCCTTTCTGGCGTGGACCTCCCTCTGCCTACACAACTAGATTCAAAGTGATATCCCTCATCTCCTTCAAGTCTCTGCTCAAACGTCCCTGCTTCTTGAGGGTTTCCCTGGCCATTCTCTTTCAAAATCACACCCACGCCCCCGTCCTTCATGTTCTAGTTTTCACTCTGCTCTACTTTTCCTGCAGCACTTACTGCTTGTTAACCTACTAAGGAACTCACTGCTTAGATTTATTGTTGGCCTCAATCATCCTCTGTTTTGTTCACAGATGCAAGTCCAGCTCCTGGAATAATGTCTGGCACATAGAAGGCCCTCAGGACATTTTTGTTACATGAATTAATGAGTTCATCTAATCTCTGTTACATTCGATATCTCTTTTTTTAAAAAGATTTTATTTATTTATTTATTTGACAGAGATAGAACCAGAGAGCACAAGCAGGGGGAATGGCAGAGGGAGAGGGAGGAGGAGACTCCCCACTGTGCAGAGAGCCTGATGCAAGGCTCAATCCCAGGACCCTGGGATCATGACCTGAGCCAAAGATAGAAACTTAACAGACTGAGCCACCCAGGCGCCCCTACACTAAATATTTCAAGGGGAAGGTTTAGCTCTCTGTTTTGCACATGGTAGGCTCTTAGTAAATTCTTAATCAAATTCATTCATTCATTCATTCATTCATTCATTCAGCAAAGATGTACTGAGTACCCATGTGCTTAGAATGGGAGGTACACTGATGGACACACTGTGCGCCTCCTTTTCCTGAGAGTGGAGTCCATCTCCTGCCGCTTCTCATCCCACGAACCCCGAGGCAGGCTGCCCATACCTTGCCAGTTTTGCAGCTGGAGGTCCAGGGAGTGAGGTGGTCCTCGGCCTGGCTCTGGCCGCCCCTCCAGCAGGCAGCGGGCACAGGCCAGGTGCTGGCGCTGACAGGCCACATGCAGCGCTGTGTCACCATGTCGATCCTGTAGCACCCGACTGGCCCCCTTTAGCACTAGGGCCTGAACCGCACCAGGCTGGTCCAGATGTACAGCTAGATGGAGTGCTGTCTGTAGGCACAAAGGATCACAGGGCTATTGTAGCACACTCCTACATCTGGGGACATGTTAGGGCAGACCCAGGAATTACCAGCTGCTGGTACCTTCCCTGAGGGCAGCTTATAAAGGCTATGGCCCTGGGCTTCCACAGAAATGCTACCAAACCCTTCCCTCTGTCACCACCCACCAAGCTCTTGGGACCCCTAGTTCTGGAGGCAGGCTGAGCTAAGTGGGTCCCTGCTCTCTTGCAGATCTCCTTAGCCCCTGGAGTAAGGACAGATGGGGGCGGGGCCTACCTTCTCACCATCTGGGGAGATCTCTGTTATCCCCAGGGGCCAGGTGACAGGAAGGGTTGGAGAGAGGAAAGACAGAGGTACCAGGCAGCCTCCACCTGGCATACTCCTTTTTTTTTTTTAATTTTTATTTATTTATGATAGTCACACAGAGAGAGAGAGAAGGAGAGAGAGAGAGAGAGAGGCAGAGACACAGGCAGAGGGAGAAGAAGGCTCCATGCACCGGGAGCCCGACGTGGGATTCGATCCCGGGTCTCCAGGATTGCGCCCCGGGCCAAAGGCAGGTGCTAAACTGCTGCGCCACCCAGGGATCACGCATACTCCTTTTTTAAGGCTCCAGGAAGATGCCACCTCCTGTATTAGGCCTTCCCTGGCTGTTCCCTGCAGACACCAGATCCCACAGCAGCTGGTAAGTGTCTCAATCACCACTTTTGTCACCATGCTATGTAATTAGTTTGACATGAGTCCCCTAGCCCAGGCTCAAGCACCTTGTGGGCAGAGGCTGTGTCTTACTCATGTCTGCATCATTGGCTTCTATCCCCATGTCTGGCATATGGTTTCCTGAGTGTGAAGCCTATGTATGCTTGTGTGGCTGCTGGGAACGGCAGGTACAGGTATCTGGGCATAGCCCACCCTCTCCATCTACCCACCCACCTGGTAAAGGTTGTTCTGAATGTCCAGGACCTCCTGGGGCAGCAGAGCCAGGCAACAGAGCAGCACAGCTGGGGCCTCGTGAATCACTGCCAGGTGGACCAGCCTGGGAGGGGGACACAGCAAGAACAGGGGTTAGTGTTAGGGCTCAGGCCCTAGATAGTGAGCTAGGCTTCTGGGATTAGAAGGAAGAACACATCAATGTCTCAGAAGCCAGCCGTGGGGTAGGTGTAGGAAGTGAGAGTCTGAGCCAGGAAGTGAGGGTTGGTGAGGGAAGCCAGGATCCGGGGGCTGGGAGCTCCAAGTTCCCATCTCTGGCATTCAGGAGGGCCTTAGCCCAGTGGCAGCGTGGGCTAGGTGCTGATGGGACTCGGTCCTTCCTGTTCGGCCCGCCCACACCCCACTCTCCCTCTGGCCCCAGGGCCCTGCCAGGCTGGCTGCAGCTCAAAGCCAAACTGAAAGCTGCCGGGGTAGCACAGGGGTGGTTTCCGGGGCTGAGCTCCCCACCTCCGCCAACCTCGACAAGAAGGACTGAGGGGGAGGCGTGGGATCACCCCGACTCCCAGCAACTCAATGTTACACATTCCAGGGGAGAGAAAAGAGAAGCTTTTGGAAGTGGAGCAAGGAGACAGTGAGGCATCCTGTCCTGCTGCCCATCCCAGGGGAATCAGGAGGGCCACTCTTAACACAGAAGGGACTGGGTGGGGCCTGAAGCATCTGCATATGCTTCCAAGGGGAGGTCTGTGGTGTGCAGAAAATGTGTGTCTGTTGGGGGCCAAAGAGCCTTCACCTCTTGCTAGGGTGGGAGGGGGCAGCTGGGAGGGGAAGTTCCAGTCCTGGGGTTTCCCCACATCAGGTGGGGAAAATGAAAGCCAGAGCTAGAAGGTGGAGGCCAGGACAGCTGCCTTGGGGCATTTACTGCCCAGAAGGGGTAGTTTGGGTAAAGGCCTCTCTGGGCCCTGGAGGGGGCTGCTCAGGCCAGAGGCCGGTAAGGCTTGGTGGCAGGAGGCAGGAGAGGCCCAGGAGAGAGTGGTGGAGGGAGGGAGGGCGGAGGAACCGCTCTGGAAATCCCCTCGGCCAGGGCCTGTTCTGTAGGTCACATTCCTGCAGCCACCTCCCTCTCTCCCTGTCTCCCCTCCTCCCACTTCCTCTTTCCACTTCCAGAAGGCCAGACACCTCTGAGGGAAGAGAGTGCCCCCTCCTCTCTTGGGACCTCCTGGGAAGTCCTGCCACCTCTTCTCCACCTCCCCCTGCCTCCTCTAAACACACCTGTCTCTAACTAGGTAAAGGCTGCAGCTGAGAGGCTGACAAAGGACAGCAGGGTCAGAAGTCTCCAATCCCTAGGCCAAAGGTCAGTCATAGGTATCCACATGGAGCCCCCCCCCATCTTGATTCTGTGCCTGAGGGCTGGTGATCTGGGCAGGTTACAAAAAGGCCTGGGGTCATTCCTGTCCCCCCCACCGGGTCCACTGGCTATCTTTGTCAAAGGCTACCCAGGATTAGGACCTTCCCATCTCCAAAAAGCAGGTCAGGACAGATAACTCCAGCCTCCTCTACTCTCCCCACCCCCATTCGTTCGTTCCAGGATCCCTGATCTGGGACCCCAGCCCGCTCCACTCTGTTTCTCACCCCCAAATCCCAGCCACCTCCTCACCTGACACTGTTTCTTCTTCCTAAGGGGCAAATCTTCAAATGGCCAGTCCCGTCCACACAAAGTGCTTCTCTTACTTAAATTGCCTGTCCTCACCCCCACCCCCACAGCCGCCAGGCCCAATCCCCACCAAACTTCACCTGGGCCCAAGAGAGGGAGGGTAAAATAAGGGAATCAGACAGGACAGTGAGGGGGACTTGGGGGATTCAGGAGGTGGAGGGTGTCGGTAAAGCTGACTCTAGCCCTCACTTCCCCTTTCAGAGCAGAGAAGGAAGTAAGCTGGGCAGCCAGCCGCCTGTCTGTCTGTCTGCTGGGGCAAGAGTGCCCCAGCCTGGCTCACCCCCTCTTCCTCACAGCTAGCCTCAGCTCTGCAGCCTGGCAGCACCCTCATCCTAAGCTTCCTGACCCCCTCCCCGCCCCACTCCTGCACTGGCAACCTGTAACTCGCACCTTTTGTTTCTTGAGACAGGGTATTCTGAGGTCAGGGGCTGGGAATCCCAGATATTGAGCAAACAAAGATGCCTTCTCCCCCAGCAAGAAAAAAAAAAAAAAAAAAAAACCTGGACTGGTCAGGGGACTTTTCCCTTCCAAGGGGTGGGTTATTGGGAGGTTTCCAAGCTGCTGGCTGGGGTTCCAGGTGTCTGGTAAGGGCCCTGTGAGCTGTGCCCAGCTCCCGAAGCGAGGGCGGAGAGATGATGCCAGGGCCTCTGGTCCGGGGCTGGCCAGAGCTCAAGGGCGGGCTGGCAGTGAAGCCTGGAGTTTGGAGGAGAGAGTGGGGACTGCCCCTTCCAGCGCCGGTGTCGTGAGGGATCCGCAGAGTGGGCCCCGGGCTGCTGAAGATCCCGGCAGGGCAGGCCGGGACTTAGCGCTGACTGGAAGGGGTCCCCGCCCCGCGTCAGCCTCGACGGACCCCGTACTCACGTGTCCCCATCTTCGGAGATGTAAGTGAGCGCTTCCAGCTGCTGAGGGCTCAGCGCCCCCGCGGCCGGGAGCGGCGAGCGCGGGGCCGGGTCCTCGGCCTCCGTGCCCCCCAGCAAGGGCAGGGGCTCGGTGAGCGACGAGGAGCCGTAGGTGGAGTCGGTCCGCTCCCCGTCCGTGTCTTCCTTCTCGCGCGGCTCCTCGGCTGTCCCCGGAGGACGGGTCCAGGGCTGGGGGCCGCCGCCCTCCGAGGGCCTGGAGGCTGGGGCCGGGGTGGGCTCGGGCAGGGAGCGCAGAGAGCGCAGGGACTCGATGCCCGAATCATACTGGCTCTCGTCTGTCTCGTCCGGCCCCTTCCGCGCCTCCGACATGCCAGGGGTGCTGGCCCGCGGGGCTGGGGCCGAGCGGGATCCGGCTCCGGGCTCCGGGCTCCGGCTCCGGGCTCCGGCTCCGGGCTCCGGCTCCGGGCTCCGCCGCGCCGCCTTTCCGGGTTGCAGGTCCGCCTCGCAGAGCTGGCGCCCGGCCCGGGGTGGCCTCCTGCCCGGACTGCGGGAGCCCGAGGGGTCGGCGGGCAGCGCGGGCGAGGCTCGAGCGCCGGCGGCTTCCACGGCAGCGGCTACTCCGGCCGCGGGACTGCCCGGTCGGACCCGCTCCCTCGCCCCGCCCCCAGGCCCCGCCCCGGCCCCGCCCCCGGCAGGCGCTTCCGGGCCGAGGCCCCGCCCCCCGGAATCCCCCTTACCCCGCCCTCTGCGTTGGCTTCCACTCCGGGGTTACCCGGTCCTGAGTCACTCGAGCGCTAATTCACCCGTTCATTCATCCGTCCACTTATCCAGCCATCCACCATCCATCTGTTCGTCCATATTTCCCCCTTCTTCCTTCTTTAAGTCCATGCATTTTCTTTCTTCCCTTCTTCATTTCTTCATTCATTTTTCCCCATTCATTCATTCATCCATTCATTTGTTTTTAAAGGAATATTTATTGATCGTCTGCACAGGCTGCATACCACGCAGGGAGAGCATGTAGGTGATGGGATGGCAAAGCTCTGCTTCCTATTGCCTACCCATTTTTCTCAATTTCTGTGGTTTTCTCATCTATCCGTGCCCAGGAGTTTGGGTAGGGAAAGGGGATATTTATTACCCGTAAATGGGCAGTTCTCCCTTTGGGTCCTGGATAGAGGGTCTCCTGGGTCAACTTCCTAAATCACATAGAACTGGGCGTGAGGATTTTTTTTTTTTTTAAGATTTATTTATTTACTCATGAAAGAGAGAGAGAGAGAGGCAGAGACATAGGCAGAGGGAGAAGCAGGCTCCTCGTAGGGAGACTGATGCAGGACTCCATCTCAGATCCCGGGATCACGACCTGAGCCCAAGACAGGTGCCCAACCGTTGGGCCACCCAGGCGTCCCTTGGTTTTGTTTTTTGAAAGTGAGTTTTCTCAGGCAAGTTCTTGTCTTAAAAAAAAAAAAAAAAAAGCAGAGTGGTCATGTTTTTATTATCTAAAAAAGCAGGGTGGTCATTCTTCACGAGGATGAAACACTGGCTCCAGGCGGTTACAACATCTGGTTACCCCTAGTGGTCAGGGAAGTTTAGTTCCTCATGGTGGGGCCAGGATGGGGAGGCCCCAGACATCCTGGGCCATGCTCTGCTGAGGTCCTCACCACAGCCACAGCCACAATGCCAGCACATCTTTCCTCTTTCCCTGTCCCTCCTTTCCTTGGGCCTAAAGGGCCTACGGAGGTTATAGGCAAGCTCCTCCCACATGGTGAGTTCCAACCCCGTGCCCCATGACTCATCCCCTACTCCAAGTGCCATCAACCCAGGGGCAGCTATGACCTTAGAAGAATCATCCCCAATCATCTCTGGAAAGGAAGGAAGCTGGAGTGAGTGTAGACAGCTACTAACCAGCTTTCCTACTACCTTCTTCTATGCAACCTCATTTATTCATCCATCTATTCATCCATTTGACAAACATGTATGGGGAGTTTCCTATATGCCTGACATTGGTCTTTCTGCTGGAAGCAAAACTGAGTATCATAGTAACAGTAGTAACCAACAACCCCTAACCCTACCCACACTTAAAAATGTCCCCTGGTCCCAGCCTTCAAAAATCTCCCTGTCAATTACAATACAGAGTGCCTGTGCTAAGACAGGCGTGAGAACAGGGTGGTGTGGGGCACACCTTGGGGTCAACTACCCAGTGGGGTGAGGGAAAGGGAAGAGGACTGGGGGGAGAAGAGAGGTACGTAGTGTGTGTGCTTGGTGGGGTGAATGAAGAGAGAAGAGTGGTGGGTACACAGGAGGAGATGCCCCACTGCTCTCCAGCCCCGTGGAGAATCAGAGTGGAGAGGATATGTTAAGCATGAGGCGGTGAAAAACCATGAGGGGAAAGCCCAAGGAAATTGAGGCATCTCCTTCCCTTGAGGTCAGTGTGATTTCAGACGTTCGCAACTTCCTCCCCTGACATGTTCCTCTCTCATCCTCAAAGGCTAGAGCAAAAATACAGTCAGAAACTCCAGACCAGACTACTTGGGCTTTCATCTGGCACTACCACATCCCCATCTTAAAGTCTGGAAGCTGAAATCCAGAGAGGTGAGTTGAATTGCCCAAGATCAAATAGAAAGAGCCAAGTTCTCCTGTCCCTAATCCAAAACTTTGAAAAACATGTTCACTGAAACTTCATTTCTTTTATGAAGGCCTAAGGAGTTGGGGCATCTGAAACCACTGCAAAGACACAAGAACTTGGACAGATGCAGACAGAGGCTGAATTTGGGGAAAAAGCTATCCCAATTCAGTCCTACCTCTGGCTCAACTCTAACAGGTGTGTAGCAGCCCCTTTTCTGGCCACATGAGGTCAGCATTGAGTCACTCACCGCTTCCAGCACCTTGCCTGCAGTCCGACTGGAAGCCTTCCTGGGGACACTTCAGAATGAGGAGAGGGACCACTTGGAAAGATGACACGAGGACTCTGACTCAGGCCTCACCGTGGCCAGGGCCCTGACTTTGCTCCTTGGCCCCATCCAGTCCTCCTCTCTCCGCTGTTATCTTTTGGTTCCATTTGTAGTACCCCCACTCCCAGCTTCCACCCACCCCAGTTAGGCTCATCTTCAGGAAACAGGCCCGGTTGCCATGGTGACCAGCTGGTCAGCTGGCTCCTTCCTCCCCTCTCCCTTCACCCCTCTTTCCTCTGAGCTTCCAAGGAAGGGTTCTGTGTGAATGGAGAAGTGTGTGGGTGTGGGGGGGGCAGTTTGTCAGGGGTCTTTTATCTCTTGGAAGCTCTGGGGCTGGCCAAAGGAGTTGGGCCCAGCTCTCCTCCAAAGCCCCCTGCAGTGGATGGGGACAAGGAGTGAGATTACAACTAAATGTGGAGCGTGAGCCTCCTATCTGGGTTAGGAAAGGGCAAGGCTAGGAACTCTGCACTCTTGTCTGTGGTGAGGGCTGAACTAGGTGGACCTGGCTGAGTGAGACCAGAAGAGGGGTTGGAGTTAGATGTGAGGTAGGACTTCCCATAAAGCCTGGATAGGAGACACTGGAGTGAGCCACCAAGTGAGATTCCTCCTCTGCCAAGGGAATGAGGGAGAGGCCAGCCTCTTTAGGACCACACCCTTCCTCTGTTTGGGAGGATTTACCGATGGACTGGTGGTGGAGGATCATGCAGGCTGGAATAGTTCTGAAGCACCTTGCCTGCAAAGAGAAGACTAGAAGCAGGACCAGGAGTGAGTGTGTATGGGATGGGGGTGGGGGGACAGAGGCAGTGGCTATTCAGCCTCAGGTGAGGGGCAGGACCATCCCATCAGCTGAGTGCTCTTGTCCCCTGTCCCAAAGACCAGATTATCCAAAGTTTCCCTTAAACTACCTTCCTGCCCACAAATAGCACCACGGCCTTTGGAATGGGAAAGATCTGGATTCTAGGACTAGCTGTGTGAGTACTAGCAGGTGACCTTGAGTAAGTCACTCATCCTCCCTCTACTTTGGTTCCTTGTGGGTAAATGGGAGAGCAGTTATATGTGTTGAAGACTCTAAGGTAGCACAGGGCAGGGTAGGATTCCATAGTGACTGTGCACACACAGATTGAATACACATAGCCTTTATACTGTTTTATGCTAATGATTGGTACCCCTCCCCATGAGACTTTGTGGTCTTTTAGGGTAGGATATTGTATGTTTCATTCCTGAATAGGGTATACACTAGGTACCTAATACCTGTTTATTGAAGGGATACATCCGGGAGTGAATGAAGGAATAAATGTGTCTTCTTTCAGCCTGTCCCAGGCAGTACATAGGGAAAAGCAGTGTGGGTGGATGGTAGCAAGGGGTAGGCGAACTTGCAGTCACTCCGCTTGGCCCGGGGTCTATGATTTTTGCCTCCTACACCCACAGAAGGTGGTCAGAGCCTTAGAGATTCTCCAGGCAACTTCCTCACTCCACAGAGCCTTAGAGATGCAGTCAACTCCTTCAATGCACAGATGAGAAGCTAAGGCTTAGAGAGGGGAAGGCACTTGCCCAAGGTCACACAACCTCTTAATGGCAGAGCCAGGATTAAGAATTAGAACTCAGGCCTCCTGATCTCCAGCCGAGGGCAATGTACATGCTTCACTGCTTCTTTGGGGCTGTTCTTCTAGGGAAGGAAGATGGCTTTGTGAAGCCTGGTTCCAACGTCCTCCCCTCTGCCCTCTGCCAGTCCTTTCTCACATCTAGCTCCAATCCTTTTCCCTTTCACCAGATTCCATCTCTGTTCACTTGGAGTCTGGCCTCTGAAGGCTGGCTCCTGCATTAACCCATTACCACCCAACTGGGAATAAGGATCTTCCCTGGGGTTCTCCAGGGTTCAATTTCCTCTCCCCACCCTTGGCCCCAGGAACTTGCCGGAACCAAGGATGGGGAGGGATGTTGGCTGAGCCGCTGGCGCCCCCTCCGCGGAGTAGGGACTGAGAGGAGTTGCGGCCCAGATCTTCCCAGGATGGGGGGGCGGTGGTGCGGTGAGCAGGGCTGGGAGTGGGGAAGGGGTGCGGGGAGCCCCTGTTGCTTCTCCTCTTTGGGGGGTGGCTATTAGGTAGGCTTGGGGAAGGCGGAGTTTGGGGGGCCGGGGGCGGGGCTCCAGCGCTGGGAGGAAGAGGGGGGGCGCGCTGGCTCCAGCTCGGCTCAGACAAAAGGCGGCGGCGGGAGCGGGCGGGAGGCGGAGCGGCGCCGCGAGGGCCTCAAGGTGACACCCGCCCCCGGCCCCGGCCCCCCCGGCCCGGCCCCTAGCCCGCCTCCCCACCCCCAGCCCCGAGCCCCCTACCCCCGGTGCCCTTTCCAGGCCCCCTCCCCCCCGGCGGGGGGTGGGGAGCAGCGAGGGCCCCGCCCCCTCCCGCCCCCTCCCCAGGGCCGGCGCAGGATGCCCTCGGCCCCCGGCAGCCCCCCGGGAAGCCCTGAGCTCGACGCACCCCCTCTACGCCATGTCCCCCCCTGGCTCGGCCGCGGGAGAGAGCGCCGGCGGCGGCGGCGGCGGTGGCGGCCCCGGGGTCCCGGAAGAGCCCACGGCGGCGGCAGCGGCGGACGAGGGCCCCGCCCGAGAGGAGGTGAGAACAGGCGGCGCCCCTTCCCCGGGCGCGGCCGCAGCCTGGCCCCCTCCCCCGCCGCGCGGCCCCCGCCGGTTCCGCCGCAGCGCGGCCGGCGCCCCGCACCCCGAGCCGGCCGCCGCAGCCGCAGTCCCGCGCCGATGCCCCCACCGGCGGCCGGAGCTGTCCGCGGTGGCGGGGAAGGGGCTGCGCCGGGGGCGGGGCTCGGGGGTCCCGGGCAGGGGGAGGGGCCTGGGGGCGGAGCCTCGCGGACCCCGGGCGGATCCGGTGGGGACGGTGGCAGGAATCCTGGCTCGCGGAGGGGATGCTATCCTGAAGGCCAGGAAGGGCGACGTATAGGGGCTACAGAGGCAGGAGGGCACCGTGGGTGGGGAAGTGGTGGTGGTACCTGATCTGTGGTCCTCAGAAGGTCAGATGTATACAGAGGCGATTCCTCGCCCCCGGGGTCACCGGGAGTGTGTGAGCGTACCTCTCTCCCCCAATCCCCGGGGGTGGGGTGGGGTGGGGGGCTGAGCCCAGGAAGCTTTCGGAGTGTTGGAAATAAGCATATCCCTATTTAGGGGCCCTACTCTCCAGTGCTCTTAACCTGGAAACAAAGGTTTGACGAAGACACCAGGAGCACTGCTCCCCTCCCTCCCCCCCCCCATCTCCATGCACACTCGTGCACACACATACACACTGCACTAGCGGCAGAAGCACATGGGCGGGGACGGACCTTCAGGTAGAGACCCTTTCAGATGTGCTCTCAGAGGGACAAGTGCACACTCAGGGGGGCACACAAAAATGCACATCTGCACACACTCCAAGGCCAAGGCTCCTGGAAAGGTACATGTACCCTAATCTTGTTTGGACAGGCTGTGTGCTATTGCCTAGCCCACCTACCTATCTGCACTTCCAGATCTTTCCTCTCATTTCACACCAGGCCCAGGGCTGCTGCCTGTTACTGTGCCCTTCCTTTCCACCCTTTTCTCCCTTTCCTTGGCTAGCCTCCAGGTCAGGCCTGGGAAACTGGAGGAAATCAGGATCTCAGCAGGAGGGGGCATGTGTGTGTGTGTGTGTGTGTGTGTGTGTGTGTGTGTGTGTGTGTTGGGGGAAGGGGGTTCCTAAAGCTACCCGCAGGGAGGAGGAGTGAGAAAGCACAGCCCACCACAAGAAATGCAGCTCAATTCTCATTTATTAAGTGGCTTCAGGGTGCCAGAACCATGGTAGACACGCAGAGTGAGACCCTCCCCTCAGGAGCACTCAGTCTAGACATGTAAACAAGTCACTGGGGTGACGGGGGGCGGGGGGGGAAGAATGGGTTGAGTGCTTTAACAGCCCCCAGAGAGCCCCAAGAATCATGTTCTTTTGACAAATGACTGGACTGCAAACATCTTCCTCCCTTCCCTCCTACCCTGGTCCCACATCCCCACTCCCCAGCCACTTGCCTCTGCCCTTCTGGATATCTCCTCCTGGACTGCGTTCTACTCAGAGATACTAGTCCTTTCCCTTTCATTTTAGAACAGGGAAAGGATGTTAGGGTCCAGGAAGGAGACTTACAGGGGGCCTAGGGCCAGATGTGGAGAAAGTATCAGAGCTTGGGGTTTTCTGGGCCCACCCTCCCCTCCAAAGGAGGTATGAGACTAATGGTCTGTGAGGGACAGGGAGGTGGATGGGTCAAAGAGGACTGGCTCCTCCAGAACCCAAGGCTCAAAGAATCGGGAAGAGATGAGGGCCCCACCTGTTAGGTGGGAAGGTGAGGTCAGTGGGTCCCTGCCCACTTTCCTGGAACACCTAGAAGGAATCCTGGCTGGGGACCTGCCTTCGCTGACGCCTGTCCTTCCTGTCTCCCCATCCACACCTTCTTCTGTTCCATGGCCATCTTTATGTCTGTCTTTGGACTCTGTTTCTCTGGGTGCCATCCTATCTATCTGTGTCTTCTCTGCCACCTGGGCCTCCTCCCTCCATCTCTGGCTCTGATCCCTCTCTGCCTTTTGGGGTATCTCTCTCTCTCTGTGTACTTCCCTATACTGGCATTCTGTTCTCTTTTCCTGTCCCCATGGCTCACCCTGGGTCATTTCTGCCTTTGTCTTTGGTCCTCGGCTTCCATCTCGGTCTTACCTTTTCTCTTCACATCCCTGTCTGCCTGTCATCTCTGCCGCTGGCTTTCACCCCTCCATCCGTCTCTGTGCTGGGTCCTGCCACTCCATCTCACTCCCCATTTATCTCGGACCTTCCTCTGGCCATCCGAGCAGCAGCGTCCCATCCAGCCCTCTTTCACCAAGTCCCTCTGCCGTGAGTCCCACTGGAAGTGCCTGCTGCTCTCGCTGCTCATGTACGGCTGTCTGGGGGCTGTGGCCTGGTGCCACGTAACCACGGTGACCCGCCTCACCTTCAGCAGCGCCTACCAGGGCAACAGCCTCATGTACCACGACAGCCCCTGCTCCAACGGCTATGTCTACATCCCCCTGGCCTTCCTGCTCATGCTGTACGCCGTCTACCTGGTGGAGTGTTGGCATTGCCAAGCCCGCCATGAGCTGCAGCACCGTGTTGATGTGAGCAGCGTGCGGGAGCGTGTGGGCCGCATGCAGCAGGCCACGCCCTGTATCTGGTGGAAGGCCATCAGCTACCACTATGTCCGCCGCACCCGCCAGGTCACCCGATACCGCAATGGAGACGCCTACACCACCACCCAGGTGAGGGGCTGGAGGGGAGCACAGGTCAGTCCAGATGGGAGGGGGGGCGCGGGGACCCTCACTGACTGTCCCCAGGGGGAGGAGCACAGGCAACACTGAGCTCTTGTGGACATGGAAGCAGGAGGGCAATAACAACCATAATAATAACAGGGAACTCTCGCAGCCAGGCTCTGCCCTACATACATTATATAAATGCCAGGTCATTTCTTTTAACCCCCATAACCACCCTGTGAGGTAGGTAACTACTATCCACATTTTACAGATGAGGAAACTGAGGCCTTGAGAGGTTAAGTACCCTGCCCAGAGTCAAACCAACAGTATGTGGTGCATTTGAATCCAGGCAGTGTGGCTCCAGGGTGGTGTATACTGCTTAGTGCTTAATGGTTGGAGATGGCTTCACATGCACTATCTCACAGCATGCTCTCACCTGTTCAGTGAGGCGGCTGCTTTCAGGTCCTCTTTCACAGGTAAGGAATCCTAAGCTCAATGACTTGTGCTCAAGGTCTGCAGCTCCTCAGTGGTAGTGCTAGATTCAAACCCAGGGCCCCAGGTCCCAAGTTCAAGGCTCCCAAAGGTGGGAGCCTTCTGGCAAAGGGATGGAGGTAGGCATGGGAGGCCCCACGGAGAGATGGGGGCGGGGGCCAACGAGCACTTCCCGGACCCGTGAGGCTCAGGCGTTACTGGAGCCTTGGAAGAAGAGGACATTTTCTCCGGATTGGGATGGGGGAACAGAAGCCTGGGGCCTGTGAGCATCAGGTAGGGGGCTGGGAGAGAGCTAAGGTGGGAATGGGCAGACCAGAGACAAAGGCGAGACAAAGGCGGTCTGGACAGGGTGCTCCTCGGCCCCTCTGGGAACACACGTGTAAAAGGGAAGAAGGGGCAGCGGAGGGCACGGGAGTCAGGGCGAAAAGGTCGGGCAAGCCCGATTGACGGCCAGCGCCTGACCGCCCCCCGCCCCCCGCCCCCCCGCGGAGCAGCGCTTAACTGAAATCCGCAGGCACCCCGGGAGGTCCGAGTTCCCGCCCGCCCGTCCTCAGGCCTGATGCTGGCGCTCGGGCCGCCTTGCTCTGTGGGGCAGATGCCGAGCTCCTTCCCGGCTGGGCTCGAGCGGGCTCTAAGGCGGGGCAGGCAGGCTCTTAGGGTTTGCGCGGGCAGCACGCGCGCGCGCGCGCGCGCGGCGATGGGGCGGACGAGGGTGAGCCTGCAGCAGCGACTCCCGCCGCCCTCCCCGGCGCCGCAGGTCTACCATGAGCGCGTCAACACGCACGTGGCGGAGGCCGAGTTCGACTACGCGCGCTGCGGCGTCCGCGACGTGTCCAAGGCGCTGGTGGGGCTGGAGGGCGCGCCGGCCACGCGCCTGCGCTTCACCAAGTGCTTCAGCTTCGCCAGCGTGGAGGCCGAGAACGCCTACCTGTGCCAGCGCGCGCGCTTCTTCGCCGAGAACGAGGGCCTGGACGACTACATGGAGGCGCGCGAGGGCATGCACCTCAAGAACGTGGACTTCCGCGAGTTCATGGTGGCCTTCCCGGACCCCGCGCGGCCGCCCTGGTACGCCTGCTCGTCGGCCTTCTGGGCCGCGGCGCTGCTCACGCTGTCGTGGCCGCTGCGCGTGCTGGCCGAGTACCGCACGGCCTACGCGCACTACCACGTGGAGAAGCTCTTCGGCCTGGAGGGCCCGGGCTCGGCGAGCAGCGCGGGCGGCGGCCTGAGCCCCAGCGACGAGCTGCTGCCGCCGCTCACGCACCGCCTGCCGCGGGTCAACACGGTGGACAGCACGGAGCTCGAGTGGCACATCCGCTCCAACCAGCAGCTGGTGCCCAGCTACTCGGAGGCGGTGCTCATGGACCTGGCGGGGCTGGGGGCGCGCTGCGCGGGGGCGGCGGGCGGCGGCTACGGGCCGGCGTGCCGCTACGGCGGGGTGGGCGGCCCGGGCGCGGGCGCGGCGGGCGCGGCCCCCTACCGGCGCAGCTGCGAGCACTGCCAGCGCGCCGTCAGCAGCTCGTCCATCTTCTCGCGCAGCGCGCTCAGCATTTGCGCCAGCCCGCGGGCCGGCCCGGGGCCGGGGGGCGGCCCGGGCTGCGGGGGCAGCCGCTTCTCGCTCGGCCGCCTCTACGGCTCGCGGCGCAGCTGCCTGTGGCGCAGCCGGAGCGGGAGCGTCAACGAGGCGAGCTGCCCCACCGAGCAGACGCGCCTGTCGAGCCAGGCCAGCATGGGGGACGACGAGGACGACGAGGAGGAGGAGGCCGGGCCGCCGCCGCCCTACCACGACGCCCTCTACTTCCCGGTGCTCATCGTGCACCGGCAAGAGGGGTGCCTGGGCCACAGCCACCGGCCGCTGCACCGCCACGGCTCCTGCGTCGAGACCTCACTGTGACCTCGGCCCGGCCCGGGCCTGCCCGCCGGCCTCCCTCCCGCCCCTCGCCAGGCTGTGCTCCTCGCGTGTAGCGGGGGAGTCGTGATGCTGACTGAGGCTGTGCTGGGCGCTGTGCTGGGCACGGCGCGGGGCGGCCCCGTGGGCTCCGGACCCCCGCCTTTCCTGTACAAAAAGAGACCGGCGACGGCGACGGCGACGGCGACGGCTGGGAAGGGGAGTGGCGGCTCCGGAGAGCCCCGCCCGGGCCCGGTGGGCTCTTCCACCCCGCCCCTGCGTTTCTAGGGGGCGCCTCCCTTTCCGACACGCACACTCGAGATTTCCCGTCCAGCCTTTCAGTGGATCTTCTGACTGTTAGTGGCGACTGTTCTGTGGCACCGCGTGGGGCCCGTCTCCAGGGCGAGGCCTTCCCTGTGCAGCTGGGGAGGTTTCGAGGCGCGGGGAAGGGAGATTGGAGCTTTCCTTCCACCGCTGCCTGGCCCCACCGGGGCCTCTCTCTACTGAGGGGGTGGTGGTTTGGTGAACACCAGGGCTGGCTTCCAAGCAGCTAATGAATTCAGTGGGTCTGAGGCCGGGGCCAGATGTCAGCCTCGATGCTCCAGCTCAAAACCGTGCAAATGTTGCTATTCTCTTCTTGGCGCTGGCCCCAAACATCGGGGTTTCCTTTCTGCCCCTCCCTCCACCGCTGTTTATCTTGCTGGGTCCCTGGAGTGTGGGTCCTGGAGGGACTGTGCTCACACCACAGCCGTCACTCTGCTCCCTTCCCTCTTGCTCTCTGGCCCCAAGGAGCAGTTGCCCAGGGGGGAGGGAGGCAAAATGTGGAGGGGATGTGTCTCAATCCTGTCTCTGAACTCTGCAGCCTCCGGGCAGCAGCGACCTAACCCGGACTCTGGGAGGGCTCGCCCTTCAGAGGGGGGTGCGATACTCCCCAGGGCACCTTCATTAAAGCTGGTCATGGTGAATGGGTGGAAAGAGGGGGAGACAGACCCGGGTGACAAAGGGGAGCTCTCACGGCCGGTGGGAGTCAAAAGAGGAGAGGGCAGCAGAGGGAGACTGAAAGGACTTCCAAAGGTGGGGGGTTGTCTGGGGCGACTCTTGCCTTCCCCAGACTTGTGGGAGGTGGTGTGAAGAGCGGTTGTCCCCACACATTATCTCTGCAGGGCTGAGAATGTGCTCACAAGCCCCAGCTGGAGAAATACTCAATTCCAGTGGCAGGGTCCGAGGCAGGAATTCTACAAATCTTGCCTGACCCCGGTGTCGTCCCCTATCCCATGAGCTGAAGCCCTGCAGTGTATCCCAGGGTCTTCAAAGGGGCACCCTGCCACCACCCAAGGGCACTGGCCCCATGTCCTGTTCTCGTAAAGCTCTGACACCGCCTTTTCTCCCCCACCAGTCCCACCCTGATGCGCTTCAGTGTGCATGTCTGTGTACAACCAACCCCCTGCCCTCTCAACTCCCCTGGCTAAAGTTTTCCCAGCAGACTCAGTGCCCAGGGATTGAGCTCACATTTCAAGCTGGAGAGGATCACCCTTGGGCCGTCAAAATCACTCACCCCTGATGCTCCTCACTTTGCCTGAGCCTTCAGAGCTCCTCCTTCCCCTCCTTCAGCCTCCTCGCCCATCCTCCTTCAGCCTAGCCAGGACTACACCTGCCAAGGGCATGACTGCCACCTATGCAACATCTTCTCTGGCTTTCCTTCCCCCTTCCCTGGGGGGCTTAGGACGTACAGACTGTGGGGACACCATGGCCCATTGGGGTTGAGCTTTACTTTCCCTGTGGCGATGGCAGAGTGGGAAAGGCAGAGGCGGCCAGGGAAGGGGTGGCTTGGGCCGGAGGGAATGGCTGCCCACTAGGTTTCCCTGGGCAGCGGTGGCCACCTGCCTGCCAGCACGAAACCTGCCTGGCCCCTGAGTCTGTGCCCCTTGGGGGCCTGGCAGTTGGAGCACCTCTCTTTTTGAATGGACATCTGTGAGGTACAGGTGGTGAGCTGTGGCCGCAGGCCCCGGTTCTTCGCCAGCTGGCACCTGGATGTCGTGCCCTTGTGTGAAGGCAGCCCAGCCACTTCACGACTCCAAGGAGGGAGGGACTCCGCTCCTTCTCCCTCAGGTCCATTCCTGACACAGAACCTGAGCTAGGAGGAGGGGACAGGGCGGGGGGGGGGGGCTATTATTATTTTTGCCTGTATTGACTGTGTCTGCCTAGGTCTTAACACAGACGGCCTCACCTTCCACACATGCACAGACTTAGAGAGAAACCAATTCTTTGGTCTATTTTCTTGGTAGCTTTATTGATTGCCAGGGAAAACAAAAACCAGAAAATTAATTAATCTCTAAAATTAAACTTTACACTGAATGTTCTTGTTTCTCTAATTAGAACCTCTGCTAGCAGCTGTGGCTATGTACACACACTCACACACACCCTCACATCTACACGTTTGCACTCCAGAACTGTCAGAGGGTGTCAGGCACAAGACAGACTTTAGGTTGCCCAGACAGGCACACAAGTGCAGTCACTCCCAAGCCCCCTTTGGTGCTCTGCTCAGCGCTGCTTGTTGGAAGGAGTCCCTGAAAAGCAGGCACCCCCAGGCTGTGGCTGCAGCCCCATGACCCATCCTTTGGAAAGACCACAGTTCTGGAGGCTCTGGGTCTCTCAGTGGGAGGAGGATGGAGGACAAGGCTCAGCCTGGATCTATCAGGTCCTCTTGTGGCCCCGTGGGCTGATGTGGCTCCTGTGGGCAGCCGCAGAAGGACAGGGACTCATGGAGGGCACCCGGAAGGCTCCTTTTGTGCTGGGGACAAGGGCTTGTGGGGTGGGCTGGGCCTGGATGGGGAGAAGACAGTATCTGTCAATTGGGTGCATCACACTGTGGCCTTTCTGTCGTGGATTTCCAAGCGCAAAGATTGTACAAATCAAACTGGTGGATAATAAAGTTGCAGATGACTCACTGACTTCCCAGCGTGGCACCTCCCCCACGCCCTCCTCCTCCTCCCAGCAGAAGTTCCCTGGTGGGGGCATTGGGTCTGAGTCCCTCCTGTCACCTCTGTTTTCCCCTTTCCAGGTTGAGGGGGGCGGGTAAGAATGAGGGGATGGAATGGCCTGTAGAACGGGATCACTTTAGCAGCATCAAGTAATAGGGAGCATCGGCAGGGGTGAGGGTGGAAGAGCCAGGCAAAGCTCTGCAGTCACCAGAGGAGAGAAAGACCGTGTGTGTGTGTGTGTGTGTGTGTGTGTGTGTGTGTGTGCGTGTTTGTGCACGTGCGCGTGTGTCCCTGTGTGTGCATGCATGCACATCTTTGAAGGTCAAGAAGTCCAGGACCTGTTCAGTAGAGAGGAACATGGTGGGGAGGGGAGTCAGGGAGATGGATGGCCTCCATGGGAGAGTCTGGGCAGGGACTGGCTTTTGGTCTTCTCTGCCTTCCCTAATCCTGGAAGAAGTCAGTCATTTCAGGTAACATCCTCTTCCAGGGGTACAAGGGATGAGTCCCACTTCATACCCCTTCTTGCCCCCATCCCAGTCCCCTCCCCCACCTCATATCCTTATCTGCATCACACTTGATCACTCACCGCAAGGATATCCATGGTCTCTCCCTGTCTCCTCCCTCTAGACCCATGTAACATTCTATAGGAGGAATGATTGAACATGAAATGAGAGATCGGGCTAGGACAGTGACCCAGGTCCTGTCACTGCCCTAGCCCTGTTCCCCAACCTTATCCTACAGGGTTCTCAGGGCCCTTGGCAGTGATTGGTGATATGAAGTGGCTGGGATTCAAGGCCCGCTGGCGGGCGGCTTCCCGGTTGGCACAGAGGGCCTGGCCAATGAGGTACTCGCTCTCCTGGGCTACATCTGACAGGCGCAAGTCAAACTCCAGGAGGGTCTTGTTGTCTGACATGCCTTCCAGGAGCTGCTTCCCGCCGTCCTGGGAGAGGAGTACAAGAGAAGGGGTCGTTTTATATCACTACCTAGGATTGCACACGCGCATACACATTTATATAAAGATGTGACTAGAATGAGAGTTTCACGAAACAACGGTTAACCTATTTGTTCAGCACGCTAATGTGTCCTATGCTATCCTATCCTATTCTATTCTATAAGAAAAATGGTACTCAAGACCTACTAAACTGAATTTTTGACCCTCATGATTTGAAAAACATGGTTCTGTGACAATGATGGTAACTCCACTCCTCTGATTCTACCATGGGTAGGTGAGACAGATCTGGCTAATGACATCTGAGGAGGAAGTACGGAGGAAGTGGTTTCTGGGAAGGTTGTTCTCACTCTGAAAAGAGAACAAGAGAGAGGGGTGCTCTCCTTTTTCCTGTCTCTGAGCATGGCCCCAAGTGACATGCAGCAGCCATCTTGGGACCTGAGAGAAGCACCTGGGAGGACACTGCCAAGTAGCTGGGTGGGCAGAGCAGATGGCACCACTGAGCCAGTGTATTTACCACCTCCGAAGATCCTCTAACCTGGGGCTTCTGATTATGGGACGTATTGAATATTCCTCTTGTTTAGGCCACTTCCTGGATCGGTTTTCTGTTACTTGTGGCCAAGAGCACTCTGTTGGGAGACGGTGTATGTATGTGAGCAAGACTGTTCTCTGGGGAGGTTTGGTACAGGGTGCCAACATGGAGGGTCCCCCTCACTAGTCCTCATAGCTCCAAGCTCCAGCCCCTTGTTGGGTGGGCTACACCTGATGTGAACAATTTTTTATGTGGGAGGTAGAATGGTTGTGTTCTATGGTTGTGACCCAGTAGTGTGGTGCAAAGTCAGTTTAATGGGTTACAGATGCATTTTTAAAAAATGAAGTAGAATAGAATATAAAGGAAACTATTAGCATGTGTCACAAGCAGTGAAAGTACATTTCAATGGTACTATATTGATACGTCTGTTCACTAGGTGTTCATGTAAATTGCATTTCTTGTTTTGACACTTGCTCAAGAAAATGAGAGACATTGTCTATCAGAAAGGACCCAGGTGGAGCATCTGGGTGACTCAGTTGGTTAAGCATCCAACTCTTGTTTTCTGTTCAGGTCATGATCTCGGGGTCCAGAGATCCAGCCCTGCATCAGACTCCACACTCAGCAGGGAGTCTGCTTGAGATTCTCTCTCTCCCTCTGTCCCTTGTTGCATTTTCTCTCTCTCTCTCTCCCTCAAATAAATATTTTTGAAACGATTTTATTTATTTGAGAGAGAGAGAGTGTGAGCACCAACGGCGGGGGGTGGAGGGGCAGAGGGAGAGGAAGAAGCAGGTTCCCCACTGAGCAGGGAACCCCGATGCTGGGCTTGATCCCAGGACCCTGAGATCATGACTAGAGCCAAAGGTAGACAGTTAACTGATTGAGCCTCCCAGGTACCCCAAATAAACAAATCTGGTTTCCAACCAGCCCTGGTTTGTTTTTTTTTTTAATATTTTATTTAAAATAAATAAAAGAGAGAGAGAACATGAGCAGAGGGAATGGCAGGCAGAGGGAGAAGCAGGTTCCCCACTGAGCAGGGAGCCTGATGTGGGGCTTGATCCCAGGACCCTGGGATCATGACCTGAGCTGAAGGCAGACGCTTAACCAAATGAGCCTCCCAGGAGTATCCAGTCCTGGATTTGAATCACAGCACTGACATTCTCTACTGACTGGATGCTCTCGGGTGATGCACTAACCCCTCTGAGACTCAATTTTCCATCTGTAAAGTGGGGTTAAGAATACACATTCTAGAGGCACCTGGGTGGTTCAGTCAGTTAAGTGTCCCACTCTTGGTTTTGGTTCAGGTCATGATCTCAGGGTTGTGAGATTGAGCCCTATGTCAAGCTCTACACTGAGCATGGAGTCTGCTTGAGATTCTCTCTCCCTCTCTCTCTGCCCCTCCCTCATCCCTCTTCTCTCTCTCTCTCAAATAAATAAATCTTAAAAAAAAAAAGAGTTCATATTTTATTAGAGGTGCCTGGCTGGCTCAGTCCACAGAGCATGCAACATTTTATCTTGGGGTTGTAAGTTTGAGCCCCATGTTGGGTGTAAAGATTACTTAAAAATAAAATCTTCAAAAAAATACACATTCTACTAGATAACTGTAGGAATAAAGGAATAGTGCCTAGCATAGGTTGTAACCCTGAATAATAGTAATAGCTAGTGATCCTGAGGTCCTAGCCAGTGCCTCCAATGTTAACTGCTTTATAAGTATAACTCATTTAATCCTCCCAGTAACAACACGTAGAAATAGATTCTATTATTATCTCCATTTTACAGATGAGGACATGGTGGCCCAAAAACGTTAAGTAATTTAACCAAGTGCAAAATGGCAGAGCTGGGAATAGAACTGGGTAAAGTCTGTGGTCTTAACAATTACCCTGGAAGTTCCTCAAGGCAGTTGGATTCCCACACTCACCCCCCAAGGCTACGGGGCTCTTCTTGGCTCTGCCAGCCCCAGAAGGTACAGCTTACCAGCCCGATGTGATTGCAGGACAGGTTGATGCTGGTGAGCGTAGTGTTGACAGTGAGCACCTGGGAGAGGAGGGTGGCGGTGGGCTCAGAGAGTTCATTGCCCCCGAGGTGCAGGGTTGTGAGGCACTTGTTGGTCTGTAAGGCATGGGCAAGTGCCTGGCCACCCTCATCTTCAATGCAGTTGAGGCGCAGGTTGAGGGAAATGAGGTTGGTGTTGTGTGCTAGGGCGTGAGCCAGTGACTGGGCACCAGGCGCACGCACCTGGTTGTTGGCCAGGGTGAGCACACGGAGGTGGCTGTGGCTTAGCAGCTTGGCCGCGGCACGTGCGCCGCGGTCCCCGATGAGGTTGTGTGACAGGTCCAGCTCCTCAAGGGCTGGGTGATCCAGGAGGCTGCGAATTAGTATGCGTGCCTTGTCATCGTCCACCTTGCTTCGGGTCAGTCTGAAGGTCTGTGGGCAGGTAGGAAGTATGCAGCACCTGGCAGCCAGGGAGAATCTGCCTGCCTACCCAGCTACCTTCTGCAGGTAGAGGAGCAGGCCACAGGGAGGCCCGAGGTTCTGCTTATCTGGTGTTGGCCATCCAACTGGCCATGGCCAGGGCAGGGCTTCCCCGGGTGGCAGAGCAGTGCGGAACTGGTGGCAGGCAGTAGAAGGAAAGCCTACCATTTATTGACAAATTACTATGCGGTAGGCATGCTACTAGAGTGTTATCATAACAATTATCTCTGACTCTCTAGCCCCCAGGCAGGTAGAATGAGTTCTTTCTACTTTGCAGATAGAAAATGAAGGCTGAGGGTGGACAGGTCATTTGCTCAGGGTCACACAGTGATCAAGCCCCAGAGGTAGGTTCAAATCCAGGTCTATTTGATGCCCCAACTCCTGTTTGATGGCCAGGAGAGGAACTCTTGGATGGAGAGGCCAGGGAAAGAAGCAGGATGAGAGATGGGGAATGGAAGGATGGAGAGAAAAGACAAAAGAATGGGGTAGGACTAGCATGGGGAATCCTGGAGATGGGAGTCCTAACCCTCTCCGTCTAACCAGCTCCTTCCACTCCTCCCTCTTCCACGGGGCCTCCCCACCCTCTTCCCATTCTTCATTCCCCTGCTTTTTTTATGTCTCCCTTAGCCAGCTTAGAGCCTCTTGTGTCTCTTATCATTTCATTGTACCTATCTGGCAAAGCTCTAACCATGGATCAACCCCACTCTGTTTTCTGCCTATCTGTGCCCAAGCAATTGATGTAATGGAAAATGTCACATGACAGTTCTGGTTGGTATCTCTGGAACCACCAACAGACCCTCAATGCTGTGTGCCAATTTAGCCCTGTTTCTCCAGACAACATATTCTCTCTCACTCTATAACAATGATTTCAACATTCTCCAGCCTTCTCAAACTTCAGGGAGCCACCCTACAGCCTCCTTTCAGCACTTCAGTTTCCTCCTGCCTCCCTGGCCATTGAATGGGAACCCTTCATTTTCCTAATACCAAACACGAGCCCACTGCTATCCACCACATCCTCTCTCCTCTGCCCAGAGCCAACTGCCCCACCTCAGTTCTCAATTCCACCCTCCCTGCCTTCTCAAGAACCTTCCTTGGTAAATGAACCTATGCCTTTCTCTTGGACTCATCGCTTTGTTGCTGTCCAATGGAACTTTATACTGGTTTTAAACGCATGCAAATATCTTTTTTTTTTTTGCAAATATCTTTTTAAGAAAACCTAAACCCTTCATATTACTGATTTCCCCTTCATCCCCTTCACAGCCAAGTTCTTGAATAAGCTGATCACAGCCATCCTGTTTCCTCACTTCCCACTCTCTCCATAAACCACTCCAATCTGGCCCCTGTTCCTGGCACTCCACTGACAGTTCCAGCTCTGTGACCTCTGAGTTTGCTAAATTCGGTCCTCAGCATCACCCCACTCCATTGCTGCTTGCTCCTTTTCTTGAGATTCACCCCTCCCTCCGCTCTGTGACTTGAGGCCATGTCACCCCGTTTCCTCTTTCTCTGACTCTTTGGCAGGCTTTCCCTCTTCCAATCAGAATACGTGGGACATACTTTACTGAAAAATTATCTGTCGAGTATTTGAGTTTCAAATTTAACTGGATGTCTTGTATTTTTATTTGCTAAATCTAGCATTCCTAGCCTAGTTGTAATTTTACATTTACATGATTGCTGATGAGTGCCTTTTATCCCACCAGACTGCTAGCTCCAGAGGCCACAAATGGTATTAATTTTGCTCATTGTTGAATCTTCAGCACCAAGGATAGGGCCCAGAGTGCAGATGTTCCTTGGATGAGTAAGTGGCTTGAGAACTGGGAGAGCAGTGCCTTGTTCCACCCTGCATCCCCAGAATCCAGCTTGGTGCAGGGTGCATTCACTTGGTCAGTGAATGAGAAGGAAATGGGAGATGATGGGGTTGGAGGAGGAGGAGGAGGAGGAGGAGGAGGAGGAGGAGGAGGAGGAAGAGGAGGGGAGAATGGGACGTAAAGGAAGGCCCAGCCGCCTGGTACCTTGAGGGTGTGGCATGCCTTGATGGTGGTCGCCAGGGAGTGGCAGTCCTGATAGGTGAAGAGGAAGAGGTTCCACTCGAAGTTCATGCCGCAGTCCTTGACCCCATACACCAGGTCCAGCTCCTCCAGGTGGCTCAGGCCAGCTACCAGGTCCCGCAGTTGGTAGTGGTCCCCGGTGGGCTGCTCCATCTCGGCCTCGCTGCCCGAGTCGGACAGCTCCCCGTTCCACGGCTGGAGCGGGAGCTGCACGGGCGGAAGGAACTGATCCACGCGGAGCCTGCGCACGTAGTTCCTGCAGAATGGCAGCAGGTCGAGGATCACCGCGGGGTCTGTGGTGCTCGGGATGAAGTGCTTTATCAGGTTTTCCAGGTGCCGCTCGAAGAACAGGCGCTTCCAGCTGCCTCCGTGCCTGGCCACGTGGCACACGGGCCAGCGCTGCATGCAGCAACGGCGCCAGTAGTTCTCGTCGTCGATCAGGTTGGCGGTCACGGTCAGCGGCAGGTCGGGGGACAAGTGGTTCAGGACCTTCTGCTGGTGCTCTGGAAGCAGCTGCTTCAGGATAGGGTTGTCTTTGAGAACAGGAGGGAAAGCAGGAGTCACAGTGGTGGGGATACCACAACGTGGTACCCTGGGCTGGTCCTGCCTGGGGGCACCCAAGCAAATGGAAGATCTTCCGCGGCCCTCAGGGAGCCCCAGCCTGAGGGGGGGGGCAGCCTTTATCTCAGGGATGCTTAGTCTGAGGATAGAGACGTAGCCCCTGGCGTTGGGATGTTCCCTGCCTGAAGGTGGACATCTTCCTGTCTGGTTCCAGGGAGCTCCCAGTCTGAACAAGAATCTCAGGTCTAGCCCTCAAGTATTACTTAGTCTGATGTAGGAGATAATCCTGAGCCCAGAGATTCCCAAATGATTTGATTCATTAATTTCAAAACAAAACAGAACAAATATATTTGAACATCTACTGTGCTCCAAGACACTAAGTGCTGAGGGTACAAGAGTGAGGAAGATGGTGGAAGCCACTCCTTCTTAGGAGAGGAGGCAGACAGTAAATATGTCAGGAGAATATATTGTAGGTCAGGTGGTGGTAGGTGCTGCAGATAAATGATGATCCTGTCCTCACAGCCCCAACCAGTAGGAGAGGCTGGGAACTCATCTTTGAAAAGGATAACCATTTACAGAGCACAAAGTACAGAACAAACCAAGAACCTATATGCACTGTGGAAGGCTCCAAGAGGGTAGAGGATGGTCAACCAGGGAGGGCTTTCTGGAGGAGGTGTTTGGTAAATTTGGTTTGGGCTGGGTTTTGCTGGAGAGAGTGGGAAAGATGAGGAGAGGGCATAGACAGGCAGTGCACAGTGTGGATGGGAATCTGGTGGACCCTGGAAGTAGAGACAGTGGGAGAAACCATTCTGGTTCCAAAGGGTAAGGGCAGTGTTTACTGGGGATGAGGACCCAGTGCAGGAGGGCAGGGGCTGCCTCAAGACCTGGCCTTTGAGGTTTTGCCTCTGGGCAGGCAGTCCCCACCCATCCTACCCTACTCCTGGCCTTTTGAAACCTCCTGCCCAGGGCAGGGACAGACTCACTCTGGAAGTTCTCAACAATGTGCTGAATGCAGAGCTCTGTGAGGAGGGGCACGATGGCCAGTGACCACTCAGGGTCCTCAGCTATGATCCTGCGCATCTGACGTACATTGGCTCCGGATTTCCAGCCCTTGGACTTGCTGGGGGGTGGGATGACTGAGGGTCTTGAGGGCTGGGGACCTGTGCTTGAAGCTTGGCCTGCGGTGGAGGACCTGTCCTGCATGGTGGTTGAGGATCGGCTGAGGACTGACAGTGTTGGTGTCACTAGGGTTTCCTGCATGCTGTGGACTGGCAGCCTAGGGGCAGGTAGCCCCTTGGTGATGGCCTTGTGACGAGGAGTCTCTCAGACTGGCAGGTTCTTGGTGCCCATGGGAACCTGGAGGGAGAGGAGGGGTGGAGATCTTAACTTTGGAGGGTTTCAGTGGGCATTTAGCAAGAGAGGTAGCACAGAGTGGTTCTTAAGGGTCCATCTCTGGAGTAGAGCAGATCCAGGTAAAAATCCTACTGGTTAGCTGTGTGGCCTTGGGCAAGTTACTGAATCTCTTCTAGTTTCATATGCCTCCTCTACAAACTGAAGAGGACAGTTACTTATAAGAGGAGTGGGAGAAGTGAATAAAGTAATGCATCTAAAGAGGCATAGTATACTACGACACATGCAACTATAGCAAGGAGCAGGCCGACATTTTGGATAATAATATCTATACAGAAATTAGAAGTAATTAATATATGTTGGATGCTTATTTATGTATTTTAAAAAAGATTTCTGAGAGAGAGAGAGAGAGAGAATGTCCAAGAATGGGCAGGGTAGAGGCAGAGGGGAAGAGAGAGAGGATCTCAAGTAGACACCCCCACTAAGTGTGGAGCCTGGTATGGAGCTCCATCCTACAACCCTGAGGTCATGACCTGAACCAAAACCAAGAGTCAGATGCTCAACCGACTGTGCCACCCAGGCGCTCCTGGACACTTTTTAAAAAAAGTTCTTTATGCATATTAACCAATTTAATCCTCACAAAAGCCTTTTTGAAATAGGCACTTTTATTTTTCCCATTTTTCTGATGTGAAGCCAAAACACAGAGAGGCTAATTGACTTGCCCCATGTCACACAGCTTATAAATAACAAGGATGGATTTAAATTCAGTCTATCAAGTTCATTGTTTTTTTAAAAGATTTTAAATAATCTCTACAGCCAACATCGGGCCTGAGCTCACAACCCGGAGACCAAGAGTTACATGTTTTACTGACGGAGACAGCCAGGTGCCCCTCAAGTTAATTCTCTGAACCCTACATTGTACTGCCCCTCTGAAGATGAGAGGTCTAGATGCATATTGCCAAACGCTCGAGGTATAATAAAGAACCATTTAGTTTGGGATGCCTGGGTGGTTCAGCGGTTGAGCACATCTGCGTTCAGCTCAGGGCGTGATCCTGGAGCATCGGGATCAAGTTCCGCATCGGGTTCCCTGCATGGAGCCTGCTTCTCCCTCTGCCTGTGTTTCTGCCTCTCTTTTTTGTGTGTCTCTCATGAATAAATAAATAAAATCTTTAAAAAAGGAGCCATTTAGTTCAAAACAGCTCCTGGGGTTAAGTATTTTATAGGACAGCACTGCCTGACCAGGAGGATGGGGTTGAGAACAGCACTGCCAAGTAGAAATGAGATACATGTCAAAATGTAGGCCACATATACTATTTAAAATGTAGTAAAATAAAATAAAAAATAATCAAGAGAAATGGGTGAAATTAGTTTCATGTTTAACCCAATATGTCTAATATTATCATTGAAATATGTAATCAATATAAAAAATATGTTTAAAAAAGATTTTATTTATTTATTCATGACAGACACACAGAGAGAGGCAGAGACACAGGCAGAAGAAGAAGCAGGCTCCTTGCAAGGAGCCTGATGCGGGACTTGATCCCAGATCCTGGGATCACGCCCTGAGCCGAAGGCAGACACTCCACCACTGAGCCACCCAGGCGTTCTTATAAAAATTATTAATGCGATATTTTACATACCTTTTTGCATACTAAGCCTTCCAAATCGGATAGTTCAATAGCTATGTGTGGCCAGTGGCTACTGTTTTGGACAGTGTAGGCTGAGAGGAGGGAGAGGGGAACCGGACCGAGGCTCTGTCCAGGGGGCCGGCACCTTCCCTCTTCCCCTCTGAGAGCTTTGGCTTGCACCCCCCCCCCCCTCCATGCCCATCTGATCCAGTCTTCCTAGTTCTCCCAGCCACCCTGCCTTCCAGACGGCAGCGGGGAAGGCGTGGGAGGCAAAAAAAAGCAGCTAAATCTGGGGCTGGAGACAGAAGACAGAGGATGTATCTGGGGCTGGGGACCCTCCTCCGCATTTGTCCATTTGTGCACGCTTGCTGCAGGTGCCCTGAAGCTGCAGGCTGAAATGGGGCCACTCCACACAGAGCTCCTCCTCTGGGCAGTTTCCCCTCAGATTTGCTCTGTGACTCGGTGCACTGTGTAGTGGCCGGTGGGAAGGAACGCTCTGAACCAGCATAGGTGTCCTTGGCAGATGGAGAGGACCAGATGGTACTCCCCAGTCCACCAGGCATCTCAAGGAGGAAGAGCCTGGCTGTGTGTGTGGGGAGGTGGGGGCGAGAAAGGCGGGGGTGGGGGTGGGGGAGCAGGGGCAGTGTAGGGAAGACATCTATGTATTTGTGACACCCTTATGCAAATCAAATGCAGAGGCACAAACAGATTGTGTCCAGATTGATGGAATAACCAGCTGGTGCATTTGACTAATAGCCCCTCAGAGGGCGTGGCTGGGAGGGGATGCTGCTTAGAGGTTCCAGATGACTTTGCATTTCTGGTTTTGCCAGTGACTTGCTGTGTGACCTTGGCCAATTTACTTAACCTATCTGAGCTTCAGTTTCCTTATCCATACAACTTTCCTTATCTGCAGGGTGTTGTGGAGATGAGATAATGTCTGAAAAGAGTACTGGGGGTGTGGGGGGCTGTGGAGGATGGGGGACAGGGGTCTTAGGCTGGGAGTAGCTTAGAGTGCCACCTCTGAGCACTGACCTGAGATGGGATGGAATCCTGGAGTGGCCCTTCCCTATCTCCAGGGGAGAGGCGAAGGGCAAGGTGGCAGTGGTGGTGTTTGGGGCTGGATAGGATGGAGGGGCCTGGCAATCTGGGCACAAGGAGGAAAGAGCCAAAGGGCCAGGCCTGCTCCTGCCAGCTCTGCATCTGGTCTCCTAGGGCTCCTGCCAAAAGTTCCCTCCAGAGTTCTGGCCGAAAACATTCCGGTATGCCCTTTGGGCCCAGATGTATTCCCAAGACACGCTGTGGGCCATGCCCAAGGGAGCAGGACCCGGCTTGGTGGGGGGTGGAAGGAACCCCAGATTTCTGGTTAGTGTTGCCCTGGAGCCGACTCCAGGCATTTCTCTGCCCAGCCTCACCATCCAGGTAGGCTGTTTTCCTCTCCTTCTTCCTGGGAGGCCAGATGTCCGGGAAACCGACCTGGGGCCAGACTGGCCGCCCTCTGGAACAGGCTGCCTGGCACTGATTCCACTATCTAGGGCTTCATTGTCTTAGGATCTGACGTCTCTTCCTAAGGTCTGATCTGCATCTTTCATGCTGCAGTTTAGAGCCTGCAGTCCCTTTGTGGGCCTGACACTGCAGGACCCACCCTGGGGCAGTCTCCTGCCGCCACCCCCCCCCCCACCTCCTCAGAAGGAAGAGGCAGGGCATCCCTCCTAGTGCTCCAGGGACTCGGGCGGGTATCAAAAAGAGCCCCTATAATCCTGATCCTGCAACGACTATGTTTACAGAAACCTCCATACCACTAGGTCTGATGTCATTTGAAAGGACAATGTTGAAACCATTAACCTCATAAAAAATTAAGAGGTGATAGTTTTCACTTTCCCCCTTAACCTGTACAACCTATCCCCCACCTCCCCTCTGGTAACCGCCATATGTTAACTAACTGCAGTTCAAATAAACACACACACACACAAAAAAGACATAAAGCAGGGCCCCTCCCTGTGCAGGAGCAGGCGGGGACCTAACCCGCACCCCCTTCTCACCCACTGTGAGGCCACCACTCTCTTGGCTCTCCTCCCACCTCTCTGATCATTCCTGAAGTCTGTTTGTAGGCTCTGGGTCACCCTGCCTACCCCTCACAAGCTTAGGATCCTCTGGGGACTGCTGCCTGCCCTGCCCCGCTCCTGGAGATGGTTGCAGCTCTCACCTCTTCTCTGAGCTCCAAACTCATGCCTGCTGCCTGCCTTCTGCACTCTGGAGAACTCAGAGTCTCTCCCAAGCCTCTCCTCCTCCTGGCTCCCTACCTGGCCAGGGGCACCAGGCCCCCCATGTCTGGTTATTGTTGAATCCTGCCAATTCCACTTCCCATCCCAGCGGCCCTCCTGTCCCTTAACTTGGGGGTGGGGAGGGGGATGCCTGGGTGGCTCAGCAGTTGAGTGTCTGTCTTTGGCTCAGGGCATGATCCCTGCCCGGGGATTGAATCCCACATGAGGCTCTCTGCGGGGAGCCTGCTTCTCCCTGTGCCCTTGTCTCTACCTCTCTCTCTCTGTCTCTCATGAATAAATAAATAAAATCTTGGAAAAAAAAAAAAAACCCTTGCGGGAGAAGGCAGGGGAAGGGACCTGCTGGCCTGGATCCCAGCTCTAGCTGCTTAGCACCTGGCGCTCGTCGTCAGCATGGTCCTCACAACTAGCCTTCCCTCCCGAGGCTGCCATGGCCACTCGCTACAGCTCGGCTTCCTGAACTCAGTAGAGAAGGCCCAGGGCACCTGGGAGGCTCAGTGATTGAGCGTCTGCTTGGGCTCAGGTCATGATCCTGGGGTCCTGGGATCGAGTCCTGCAGGGAGCCTGCTTCTCCCTCTGCCTATGTCTCTGCCTTTCTCTGTCTCTCATGAATAAATAAATATCTTAAAAAAAAAAAAGAAGGCCCCTGTGACTGGACATCCTATTTATTTTTAAAAAAAATTTTATTTACTTATTCATGAGAGACAGAGAGGCGGAGGGAGAAGCAGGCTCTATGCAGGGAGCCCGACGTGGGACTCGATCCCGGGTCTCCTGGATCAGGCCCTGGGTTGAAGGTGGCACTAAACCGTTGAGCCCCCCCCACCCCCCTGCCCACAGGGCTGCGCCTGGACATCCTGTTTAAAAGAAACTCCTGTTTGCCCCTGGAACTCTGCAGGCTAGTTCACGCTGCTGGCCTATGCTCAAACAGTTCTCTCTGCCTGGAAGGCCTTTCCCACGGCCTCGGCCCAGGAAACGGACAGTCCTTGGTTTTCTCAAGTCTGGG